ACACAATAAATGAATCTACTAACTTCTTAGGCCCACCAGTTTTTTATATCTTCCCTTACATATTGATACACTTTTCCCAATTTAATTGCTCTTAAAACACATAGCCTAAGTTTTGGCCGAACCAATCCAACTGTGCTAAAATATATATTCTGCTGATGCTGAGATACCTACATAGGAGTCTTTTAAAAATTGACTAAATTCTAAATCCACGTTTCCCTCATCCATAATTTTACTTCCAAAATTTTCTTACGAACTGAAACCTAGACATTTTAACTTCATAGTTTGTTGGCCCGATGACCAACGTAGCAGAGGAATAAATCTTCTTTGTTTCTTATCTGATGTAGCTGACTGAGAAGCACTAAAGTCTTAGATTTTTCTGAGGCAGTAGAAACCACCAGAGAATTAGCAAGGGGATTCATAAAGAATTCTTCATGCAGAATCTGATAAAGATTGTCCTCATTTTTGGAAATTGCAGACACTTACACAGGTGATAGACAGATGTCTCTTGCTGCCTCTATAGCAGTTTTCAAACTTTTGGAGCTGAGCCTCCCCCCCTTTTGAGGCACAATTTTTGGTTGCCCCCCCCCCCCCAGTCCAGACAAAAATAGACACATGCAAAAGTATGTTTGATAGCCTACTCATAAATCTAAGAGAGACCTTAATAGAACTTTAAATTGCCTACATCTGTAAATTTCAAATACACAGATGCTTAATGTAAAGGGTGTGCCTATTCCTTTGCAAACAGTTTATCAATTTGTGGTGAGATTTTTTGAAACCGACACTCTGAGATCGACATAGAATCATAGAAGATTAGGGCTGGAAGAGACCTCAGGAGGTCATCTAGTCCAACCCCTGCTCAAACCCCCTGCTTTGTCGAGCTGGGCCTTAAAAACCTCTAAGGATAGAGATTCCACCACCTCCTTAGGTACTTCACCTAAGTACCAGTGCTTCACCACCCTCCTAGTGAAATAGTTTTTCCAATCTAGACCTCCCCCACTGCAACTTGAGACCATTGCTTCTTATTCTGTCATCTGCCACCACTGAGAACAGCCTAGCTCCATCCTCTTTGGATCCCCCTTTCAAGTAGTTGAAGGCTGCTATCAAATCGCCCCTCACTCTTCTCTCCTTCAGACTAAATAAGCCTAGTTCCCTTCATTTCTCAGTTCATAAACGTGTTGCAACTCTTTCCCCCTGGATAGCCACCTAACTTCCAGTGAAACAACAAAGCATTGTGCTCCACTCCCATTTCTGCACAAAGCATTGCAAAAAGATGCGCCTTTGTGGGTTGGGTCTTGCTAAAATTCACGATTTTAATAGCAGAATTCAGAACATCAGTAAGTTCCCGATCTATGTTTCGCATTGCCAGGGCTTGGCAGTGTATCATACATGAGTTCACAATATATGTGGCGCAATTTCAAACACTTTGGCTTTCAGGCCTGCACTACCTCCAGACACAGAAGGGGCTCCATCCATGCAGATTCCGACAGAGGCTTCCCACTTCAACTCATGATAAGTTAGGAAGTCATTTTAAATGTTAAACAGTTCAGATCCAGTTGCATAGAGAACAAAAAATCTTCCAATATTGATATTTCGTGAGAGTACCGAATGTAAGCAATTAAATGAGCTTTTTTTATATATCTCTCATTTCATCCAACTGGATTGCAAATAAAATGGATTGCAATTGAGAGATAAGCTGTGCCTTGATATTTTCTGACATCAGAGATTCATCAGCTGACTGTGTTGTCTGATAGTGGGATCATTTTTAACCAAGAATCGTCCTACAGATGTCAATTGCAGCTGGGAGTATCAGTTTTTACCCAGTTGTGTAGAGCTTTTTATTCTTGACAATGTAGTATGCAACTTGATATGATGCTTTAAAGAATTATAGGGATGGATACCACATTTTTCATTGTGGTTTTTTATTAATTTCTTGTAGCTTTCATTGGAAAAAAATCGCTGTTCTTTCCTACCAGATTGCTATGTTTTGTTTCTAAATGGCATCTTAATTTGTTAGTGTCAGGCTATTGTTTGCTACAGTACTGCACACACTACCCATTGAGGCCTAATTTCTCCATTAACTGCAATGGAAGTGAAACCAAAATCCAAATATGCTTCATCAGATCTTCTTGTTTTTGCAGATTTTTTCTCTGTATCAACTTTAGCCATTTCAGCTTCTGGCTTCTGTTTTGGAACACTACCATCTTTTGGGAATAAATACCGAACCATTTTTCACCACACAATGATATAAAAATACCAAAGTCACCAGCGGAATAAGCACTGCACAACTGCTTATTATAAGGACAGCATATGATACTAAACTGGAAGGCGGGAAAGGTAGCTGTTGCTATAGAAATGATGGGCGGGCAGCAGGGTTCCCACTATCAGCCCCTAGTGGCTGGCAGTGGTGTTCCTGCTGTGAGCCCTGGGCCCAGGGCCGTCCTTAGGCATAGATGGCTGCGTAGGGCACCTAAAAATTTGGGGCACCCCTGGGTCTTGGTGTCCACCCTCCCGCCTCTTCCTATCCCTGTTCTGACCCTTCCTGCAGGCTCCCACCACAGCTGGCTGCTGCAGCCTGGAGAGTCTTCCTCCCAGAGGGATCAAGTACTTAAAAGTGAAAAAGCCTTCCAGCCTGCTAGACCTATTAGCACAACACTGAAACTTTTAAAGAGCCATTCAAGTGGTAATGAAGCCATTTAACAGGCATTTGCCAACCCCCAGGTATATACTGTCAGTTTCTGAACTTACTGACAAAAACAGTTGTCCATTACTGTAATATGTACTCAGAACATGTTAGTTTACAGGACTTCTGTTTAAAATTTGCTTTAAAAATATTTCATTAGTGTGTTGCTGAAGATTATAAAATCACATCTCTAAAAAATGCTTGCACAGATTTTTAAATGCACAATCTGAGTAGTCGTATTTATCCTTAAATGCTTGGATCGTCAGACATATAGTTTTTTTAAATAAATCATTCAAAAGATCCCTTATCTAAAATACACATGCGAGCCCAGGCTGCCATCGGGCATAGGAGCATCAGTTTAATAATACTACATACGGCCCCATAAATCCTAAGGACGGCCCTGCCTGTGCCCGTGGGGGGCTCCAGCTCTCAGCCTCGGGGGCTTCACTCTCATCCCCATGGGCTCCCGCTGAGATTCCTGGGGCAGCAGGGGCTCCTGCTGAGAGCCCCGGGATGGCTTGTGCCTGGGTCTCTTAGAAAGAAGAACAGGAGTACTTGTGGCACCTTAGAGACTAACAAATTTATTAGAGCATAAGCTTTCGTGGAC